ATACTTAAATTCTCTGACTTTTCCCTGAATATTTTGGTCAATTTTCGAATTCCCTGACTTTTCCCGGTTCTCCCGGTTTTCCAGGTAGCGTGGCAACCCTGGTAAAATGAGTCCTGAACCTGACTCCTAAGGATGTATGTAAAGTTGCTGTTTACGCTTAGTGGATACAGTGGGAAGACGATGTATAGCACATGCTTGAGCAATTTATCTTAGTATTTCACTCTTATTGTACTCGCTGTCACTTAACGCAAATTTAAGAAAACAAATTTTCCTTCCTGTGAGGGTAACTAACTGTAAGCATCGATAACAATCAGTAGCTACAATAGCATGGCGAGAAATTTACACGTTTCTAAACAAACTCCCCCAAATTTCGGAGCTCATCCTATTATTTTATAATATCAAAGATAAATGAATGCTTTACATAATAAAAATTTTGGATATTTTGAATACGTTTATCACCTTAAAAGGATTAATAATTAAATTTCTAATAGAACTTGTTAATTTGTAGTTTGCCCTTCTTAAAGGGAAAAGTTTCCGCATGTGAGTGAGGAGAATTTACTTGAACGCCTCATGTTCTCATGAGTTTGTATTTCTAGAGAAATAAAGTATTGCAAGGTCTGCTTACTGTTAAACTAAAACGTTAGGAATTCTAAATTTTTTCCCCTTTAAATTGTGGTTCATTTTATAAAAAGAAGTACCGGAGCTCATCTCATTTAGGGCTCCAGTGTGCTCCGGCTAAAATTGTAATTTATCTTAAAAATTGAGAAGTACCGGAGCCAGGCTCCAGGGTGATTTAAGCACTGTTGGTTTAGGATATCGTCCAGACTTCAGTAAATTTTCAACAGCTCCAAGCAATTCCCATTATTTTATAATATCAAAGATAAATGGGTACTTACATATTATCGCAACCAGGTTGGCGCGATTTGTAAGTTTGAGTAAAAAGGTATGAATAGAAAGAAAATGTACATTTATTAATTACAGATAATTTTTAATACAGTTTTTTATATTATTTTGTTTTAAAATATAAAATAGCAATTAAACCCTTCCGGTTTCCGAATTTGAATAAGTTGCAGAGTTATTTTTTCGGCGGAAATCTTTTGGCTATTGCTTTTAGCACTGATTGAAAACCGTCTTCGCCATTAACAGCTTGAGCTTGGCGCCATATAAATTCGATAAGGTATGAGTCAAGATTATGATGGCCTGTTCCTCTCTGTTTTTTGTTGCGCCATTTGGCTGAGCCCCACCTGCGCTCTACATGTTGTGTGTGAACGCCCGTGTTGGGATCCACAAAGTTATATTTGTGATTAACAGTTCCATGCAGAAATCCAGCATTTTCGAACTCACTTGTATTGTATCCTTTCCAGCAATCCGAATAAATGATGCTGCCTTCCTTGATATTTTCGCAAATTTTTTGCATGAGGGTAATGGCGCTTCTGTTAGGTACAGTAACCAAAAAAGTCTCTTTCTTTTCTCGGCAAATTCTGCCGAAAACCCATTGCTGTGGTAGTACACGCCCAGTGTTATTTTTTCTTTTTACAAAACTACGTAAAACACTTAGGGTCGCCAGATTTGGCGATTTATGCGAATTTTGGCCTGATTGCGTTAATACATAAGTACCTTTTTTCTTTTTACAAATAAACTTTCATCTATTTCCACACACGTAGAGTTGCCGTAAGTAGGGTCGCCAAATTTGGCGATTTATGCGAATTTTGGCCTGGTTGCGTTAATACGTAAGTACCGATAAATGAATGCTTTACATAAAAAAACCTTTTGAATATTTTGAATACGTTTATCACCTTGGGTTTTCATTCGCAGAGAACCCGTTGGCACTTCGGGAAAGAACCCGTTGGCGCCATTGCATTTTTACTCGCTAAGTTCGCGGTTCATCGACGATGAGCCGAGCCGTAAACGTGATATTTTGTAAACGTGATTTTTAGTGCATGTAAATTCAAGTTAGCAGATAAAACAATATATTAAGCATATGGTATTAAAAATTCACAGATAATAAGCATGCAGATGTAAAACTAAAAGTCGTTAATTCGGACACCCATAATCCGGAATGATCTATAATCCGGACCTCAAAGCTAAACACTTTCTGCGCATGCGCCGCGTTGACACATGCGCATAGGCGTTTACACGTGAGCATAAGACCTTTACGACTGCGCACATGCATGTGCGCAAGTGCAGAATATGTTTTCGCGTGCGTGTTTAATGTATAACGGACGGTATAAGCTAAAATTATCTAATTATCTATTTCAGTTAATGTTGATGATTGCATTAGATTATTTAGATCATATTGTTCCTTAACCTTCGAACTGGATCTGGCTTATTACTTTTTTCAGACTGTAAGAGCAATTTTATAAAAGTAAACTTGAACTTTCGATTATGTCAAATAGAACTTCCGATGCTGGAGCTCCCAAAAGATCTTCAAAACTAAAGTATGTTTTGATGTCCATCAAACAAAAAGTGAAATTGCTGCAAAAAATGGATAAAGACATGAAGAAGGTGACAGAGAGGTTAGTGAAAACGAAAAAACTTTGATTGACAAGTTAGTCGGCATTCTCGGCACAGCAATTACGGGACTTGAACAGCGGAACTTTGTAACTGAACAAGAAATTATGTCTGTTTATAGAATTAAAGAGAAAGTATTATCACATAAAACGAAGCAACTTAAACAACTTACACTGAAAGAAATGTTTAATAAAGTAAACAAATAAATATTAAGCTTTTTTTTTTTTTTTTTTTTTTTTTTTTTTTTTGTAAATTTTGATACCCTTTAGATCATCATTGTTCTTTATTTCATAAATTATGCTTTCATATTTTTAATTTTAGAATTTCTGCATGCCATTTTACAAGATTTAAACTGATGATCTATAATCCGGAAACATCGATAATCCGGAATCGCGGAAGTCCCGACGAGTTCGGATTAACGACTTTTGACTGTATACGAAAATAAATTTGTATTAAATTCAAGTTAGCACAGAAAAGAATGTATTAAGCATAAGACAATATATAAGCATTTATAACGGAAATAAAAAATATAAATTAGTATTAGTGTACTGAAATTACCCGGTTAAACGTGATAAAAGAAAAAAAAAATTGTCTTAAATTCCGGTTAACACAGAAAATAATATATTCCTTACACCAGCAGTGGTTTGCTAATTTTGATGACCATGGTGATGCATCAAACTATTCTGTCATCTTAGATAATCAATAATATTTTTTATTTCAATTTAATCATCTATCTATGTCACACCCGCCATCCTCTGAAAGGTTATTGTTAGAAAAGCATTAACAATATATTATCTTGTTAAAATTTTACGCCATAAAAATTGATTTATTCTCATAATTTTAGATGACAATAACTAATAATAAAAATAAAAGCATTACTTAATTATTTAAAATGCACATGCACATTTTTGCGGCCTACAGAAACAAATTATTTTAGAGGTTGGAAATCTCATGGTTCTTAAGAGTTGTTAATAATTAAGAACACAACATGTTACAAATTTGCATTCACCCTTCCCGCCGTATTTTCTTCCATTCATCCCCAACCGAAAACCGGCATCTATCCACGAAAATATTTCTATCTATTCGTTGTTAAAAAATTCAGAAAAAATAATAATAAATTAGAGAATAATAATATAAATCTGCAAATGCGAACAACGACAGTGATAATTCAACAAAGTGAACGCAAGAGGAATGGTTGCAAACTTCGAACAAGCGAATAGGATAAATCCGCTGGGTTACCAGGTTTGAACTATTATCGCCAAAGTTGGCGATGTTTACATTTACCGGGTTCTCTGCGGAAGTGCTTCCATCACCTTAAAATGGTTAATAACAGAACTTGTTAATTTGTAGCATTTGCCATATTCGCTTCAAATTATGGGACTGTTAATGAAATTTTGCTACAAAGTAATAATCCCTAAATGCAGACAATAATTCTTCTAATGCATTTTTATTTAAAACAAAAAATGACAAATAAACATATGTGCAAAAAGAAATATCTTAACAAAACTTTGAAGTGTCCGAATTATTATATAAATTATAAATTAACACTTTTTGAACAAACCATTTTATTACAATTATTATACTACATGTCTATTTTGCAACAAACAAATCTTAAAAATATAGAAAAAATAATATATTCAGAAAAAAAAAAATATTTAAAACAAGATCTATAAAAACAAATTTCAGATGTACAGCGGTACGAAAACAAATTTGAACCACTGTACTCCAACGTTTCTAATAATTAAATCTCTTTTCGCTTAAACTATATATATATGCACTCACATATTCGATTACTAACACTTTTGAAATCATTCATTCGATTACTAACACTTTTGAAAAAAAAATAAAATAACAGAAAGTTACGGAATGCTATTAAATTTTATGTCAAACTTTTTTAACATATCATTCAAACTTTTTTTATATTAATCATATTAAAATCTGAACATGTGTTTCAGCATGGATTCAATACATAAATTATTTACCTGATACCACAAGTGCCTCGTTCGGTCCACAAGTAACAAAACCCGGCATATTTTCAAAAAATTTCAGACATCAACAAACTGCCAAACAAATACAGCTTTACGGCTACGGTTATTATATGCCAATTAAATATATCTTCGCGAAATTGGATTCATAATTATTATTAGCTATAAAATCTATTTTTCTTAAATCAATTTTTCTGTAAAAGCTTGATTCTACGAAAAAAATATTTTATTGGAGAAGAGACTAAAGGAAGAAATAATTTTAATTCGATTAAATGGCAACAACAGATTTGAAAGTGAAAACAACGTGTTTCATGTTTACAGATTCTGAAAAATTGTGGCTGCGGTAAATTAGTTTTATAGAAAGATTCTTGATTTGATTTATAAATGGTTATATATACATGACTTATGATGATAAATGTTTTGAAATATTATAAATAGCACTTCTTCTGTAACTTCAGATTGAGAACTGAATGTTTTGTTTCATAATTATATAATTTTGAATGTCTTCATGCAGTTTAACTTTTTCATGTCTTCTTGCATTTTTCCCTCCCCTAAATTATGATTTTTAATATTATACGAAATTCTAAATTTCCAATTTGGTTTCATATATATATGTGTGTAACAGAGCTGTTTAAGTACTGTTCGAACTCTCTCTTGAAGACAACTATATATTGTTTCTGTGGATTTTGATCTTAAAAGTTTCTCTGAGAGAAAATTTTTAATCCATTTTGCATATTGTATTATTCTTAAAAATCATTTTTAAAATGATAAACGTGAGAACTAAAACAATAGTAAGAATTCCGAATTATTTTCGGGAAAAAAATGTCCTTTAGCATTAAAAAAGAATCGGTTTGAACACCAAAACAGCCAAAAACTGCTGAAGCATTGCAATTTCATGTTAGCAAAAAGATTTGTCCTTTTTTTTAAATATCTAATTTGGATTAGATACTGGAATCATAAATTTCTTTTCACATTAGAATTCCTTGTCTGTGTAGCAGTTTTATAATCAAAGCATATTTTATAATTATTTCTAAGGTGTCTAATTCTTGTGACAAGGAAGACAGTTTCAGGGTACGTACCTTGTAAAATATGACTTGAAAAAAGGGAGGTTTTATTATTATTATTATTTCTTGTGGTTCTATAAGCTTACAGAATAACATGATCAGATTTATTTTTCTATTATTTTAGCTACATGTCTCTTCTCATTTTTAATATATCTTGACGTTAATTTTTAAAACAGGTTAATTGAATAAGCTCAATATGTGTAGAGTCTGTAAATTTTCTTTTTCTTCCCCTGCACACACATTAAAGATCCAAAATCAGTGTTTATATTCTTTGTAAATACTTGCACGGGGTTGTTTCCTCCGATTTATGTGTAGCAGTGCTGTTTAAATACTGTTCGACCTCGTTTCTTGAAGACAACATGTATTTAAGCCTTTGCTTTGCTGATAGTTTATATTACACCCAAACCTATGCACATAAATAAGTATATTTACATTTGTTTTATAATATTTTGCCATATTTATGTTTGTTTAATGTTGCTGTAAGTTAGTACATTTGGAATTTTAGGTGTTTTCCTATAAATGCAGTGACAAACATAAGCATTGGGATGAAATCTAACTAGATGAACAAAACCCTGATGTAAAGCTTCATGGGAAAAAAAGAACTTGTAATTACATTAACATATCATTTAATATATATATAATGAATGTGTAATGTGCACAATGTTTAAGTTGTGTAGGATGCCAAGTTTGTGCAACTCTCTGATGTTTTGTCTCATCAAAGAGTTGCAGTTCTGCCCATGTATAAAGCCATTTGTTTTTGCTTTAAAAAGACATCAGAGAATTGCACAGATGCCTTGGCACTGTGCACATTAAGCAGTGCATAGCTGTTCATGACATGATATAAGTTGGCTACCGTATTTTGGCGACTAGCATTTCATTAACAGAAAAGTACCAAATATTTTCCTCTAAATAAGTACTGTAATTGTGAAATAACTACATAGAAAAAGGCATTTAATATAATGTATGATACGGACAATGCAAACATCGGTGAACTTCAAAGTTCTGTCTAAATCTCTTCCTTCTGTTTGGCTACTCTGCTTAAGGCAATGCAGGAAGGCTTCTGTGAAGTGTTTCAGCTTGTGCTATGGAATAATGCCAAAATGCAGTCATACCTGTGCTTGCCATCATATCATATATTGTTGGAACTAAATTATATCCACTATCTATCTTGCCCCACAGTTCTCGCGATCCTCAGTGCTCCACTACAATCTCTGTGCTGAGCATCTGTGATACAGCTTGTTTTGTTTGAAGGCTTCCACTTATGCTATCCACAATTGCTAGCCAGCTGGAGTTAATAATCACTAAACATTTTAAATTTAAGCTGGTTATGGGTTGGTTGCATGCGAGTTTACATGGTTTTCTGCATGTGCAATGTAGATACTGGTAAATTTTCCATAAAAAAAGTTGTATAACACGGTAACCCTCGCCATAGGCAGATAGCCTTGAGTTTAATCAATTAATGAACCTAGTTGTCCATGGATGTAGGTATATTTCCCATATCCATATGCATTCTGGAAGGGTTGTTAACTCAAATTGTTAGGTACAGTATGTGGCAATTGATCAGATTTTAATTTTTCAGCTTCATAAGAAATAACTATCTTTTTCTTCTTCTCAAACAAACCATAATATTTAATGTAGAAAATAATTTTAGTTTGTGAAATAGGAATTTCGACACAAAATGTCATAGATTTTAATTTTTTTTTTTTTTTTTTAAGACAGCCTTTTTTTTTTTTTTTTTTTTTTTTTTTTTTTTTTTTTTTTGTGGGAAGGGGAGATTTTTTGTATAATTTTTTTTACTTTCTCCTGTAGTTTGATAAAAATTAATGTGTTCTTTTTCAGATGTCTCGTTATTTTGGGCTAAGTAAACCTTCAAATCATGCACAACATAATGAAGATAGTAAGTCTGAATATCCAAAAAAGAAAAGTTTTAAAAAAAAGGTAACATGAATGGGAAGACTTTAATTCAGATCATAGTTTAGTTACAATACCTAACAAATAACTCTTAAAATGCAACATTTAAAAGTTTATTAATGTTGTAAGTTATCCAGGGTGTTTGGTAAAACGTTGGCTAATATTTGTTCAAATATTATTCAAATTAGTGAAATGACATACTTTAACCCTCCAAGGATTATGCACATAAAATTCCATACAAAAGTAACTATATTTTCCAGTTTGTTACACACGAAAATTTCTGCCAGTTCCTGATATATCTAAATTCAGGTTGTATGAGTATTGGAAGAAAATGAGCAAGGAAGGTCCTTTTTAAATTAAAATCAAGAAAATATCACTTCTCGACATTTTGGGGAACTTTGAAATTTTAGCTCTAGAGGGCAAAATATGGGAAGTTCCATAACTTTATGTTCAAAATTTTCTAAAATAATTTTAAATGAATTTTTGACCCTTTTCGTTGCCCATTTTTTAATGCTTCCTAGAATTTTAAACTGGAGAGCACCTGGAAAATAAAATTCTTACTTGAAAATAAATTATGATAAAGCTAGTAGCCAACTTTTTCAAACATCCTGTTTATTATTCTTTGGTAGTTTTGAGTTCTGAAAGCATAGAGGTGAATATTATATTTGGATTATTTTGTTATTCATAATTTTAAAATCATTATGAAAATACATATTTTTTTATGTATGCATATAAAAAATATGCAAATTTTAATTTGCAATAGTCCCTTAATTTTCCTTTAAAAAATCACTTACACTGTCATTTCAAAATTAATCTCTCTCGCATGATGCTAATGATACAGGCACTTACAACAAACTGAGATTTTGGAACCAAAACTTAATATAATCAAATAATATAAAGCTAATCAATCAAAATAAAGCTAAACTGAATTGAATCACTTTTAATCAGGTATTCATCCTGGATATGTCACCATATAACTCTTATTCTTCAAATATATTTCTGAAAAATTTAAAGAGTACTGAGGAAAAATGCACTTTTTGTATCAAATTATCTGTAGCTGCATGTCAGCAATAAAAAAAATTTCTACTTACCATGATTGCAATTTTCTCTCCGAAATTGTTACGTGTATATAAATTGTTTTTTGTCATTTTAATGTATTTTAACATAATATTTTTTTTTTATTTCTAATAGAACTAGAAATATTTGATATTGAAATATTGAAATTAGTTGATCGTAGAAACAGTTGAAAATTACCATATCACCAAAATTTGATTTCTCAAAGTATTGACATTCAGTTTTGAGAAGCATCTTCCTGTAGCTGTGTACTTATTTTAAAAGTACCTCAAATCTCTTGAAGACCTTCATTGATAGTTTTAGAGAATTTTTATATCACTAATAATTCTTCTGTGAGGTAGCCTTCTTTCAGAGGTGTTTATGTATGTTTTAAAAAGCGCCCTTTTATTGGTGAGGTTTCATTTCTGATAGAAAATCTCACGTGCTGGAGATAAAAATGTTATATTACATTGTGTTGCCAGTGTTTGCTTTCAAATTGTTAGTTTTTTTAATCAAAAATTCATTAAAGTTTTAGAAAATATGAAATTAATAAAACAAATTCCAAATTTAGGCTTCCAGGTGCCCATGTTTAGGTGAAAAACTATGTTATTCAATATTTGATGAGTTTTTCTTAACAGTGCAAGAAACATGCGTATATTCATATAGATTCTTCAATATTTAGTTTTTTTAAATATATTATTACAGAGCAACAATTTGAAAAGTGATTTGATGTAAAATCTCATTTGAGACTAATAGCCCTCCTGGGCTAATGCCATTTGGACTTAAAAAAAACCCAAAACTAAAATACAGTAAATCAAATACTAATGGGAAAATAATAAAAATATATATAAAGAGAGATTTTAATGGCTCAATTTGTAAATTTATCTTAAGTGTTTAAAATCTATAGCAGGGCTCTGGCCGAGAGACAGAATATTTCCATGCATTAAAAATTTAGTTTATGTAGTAAATTTTTTATTTCAAGAAAAAAAAACTCTTTCATAATTTTTACCTGCTTTTTTAATAATTTATATATTAATTTCTAGATGTCAGATAGTACTGAATCGAATGAGCTTTCAAATAATACAGAGAAGCCTAAAAAGGTTACAGTTAAAGAAAAGGTAATATATGAGTCTAAAGACTTTGACCTATATCATTAATTAGTTAAAATAGTTCATTTTTGTAAAAGGAAAAATTGTTTTGCTAATTTTTTACTTCTTCATCGAATTATTAATAATATATATTGTTTTCTAGGCAGGATGTTATTTTCCTGTAGATGAACCTGCAAGTAATATAGAAAAAATAAAAAAGAATAAATTTAAAGAAAAAGTAGCTTACAAATATGAAGAATTTGACCCATATGATGGTCCAGTTAAAATTCCCAATGAGCAAATAAAGAAGTACCAGAGAGGAAAGCGTCTGGATGTTGTAAGTTATATATTTAATTTTCTATATTGTTAATTAGATCATTAGTTGTATGTCTGGATGTTTATATTTTTAGATTTTCATCTGATTCAGCATTTAAGAATTGTTTTGAAATTGTGCAAGTGTTTGTATATTTTTCTCTGGATTTATATGCATAGTTATTTTCTTTTATTTAGAGTAGTATTTTATAGCTTGAGAGCAACGAATTTCAAAATTAAATAATTAAGTAGCATTAAGGAGCAAATCAGTGTATTAGAAAACTTGATTTATCAATGAAAAGGCATTTGTAAACATTTGAAGAATTCTGAAGTAAACTTTATAACATTATACAGCATTTGTATTCACAGGAAAATGCATTTTACAGTAAACCTTTGCCCATCATGGGTTTGTGGAACACAAAGATGCCTGTTTCCATTTAACTTGCCCCAGGCAAAATGTTTTTACATACATGGTTGAGCATTCATCTGAATGATTAGTGGCATCAGCTCTGGTCAGAAATTATCAATATTTTTTATTGATTTTCACGAACTGAAAATGAAAGCAAAGAAACTGTACAAATTGCAAAAGCAGTTGGTAGCAAAGGATTTTTCAGATATGGAAGAAAGAGAAGCCAAAGCAGATTTATTTAAGGAATAACAAATGAAGAATTTAATGATCTTATAATACAAAGGCGAGTCAAATGAAAGTGAGCCAATGTGAATATATGACAAACAGAGTAGGTAGTCTCCATGAACATTGAGACATTTATCCCATTGACAAATGAGCCGTGTGATCCCCGTCTCATAAAACTCCTTGGGCTGTCGATTCAAAAAGTCTGTAACCGACTCCTTCACGGCATCGACCGACAGGAATCTGGTACCCTTGAGATGTTTTTTTAGTTTCCCGAAAATGTGAAAGTCGCATGGCGACAAATCTGGGCTGTATGGAGGATGTTGCAGCGTGTCCCACTTGAACTTTGCCAGTGGTGTCTTAACCACATCAGCGACGTGGGGACGAGCATTGTCGTGTAGCAAGATCACACCATTCGTCAATCTTCCAGGTCATTTGTTCTTGATTGCGACACGCAGCCGATCCAGCGTTGCACAATATCGCGAACTATTGATAGTCTCTCCACGTTTAGCAAATTCAATCAGTAATGGCCCCTGACGATCGAAAAAAAAGTCAATAGCACCTTTCCCGAGGAAATGACAGCCTTTGCTTTCTTCGGGGGTGGTGAATTCAAATGTTTCCACTGTAAGCTTTGTCGGCGTGTTTCAGGTTCGTAGTGGTGGCACCATGATTCGTCTCCGGTCACAATTGCAGACAAGAAGTCGTCACTCTCATTGTGATACCGGATGAGATGAGTCAAAGCAGTGCCGAACCTCTCCATCTTCTGGTGGTCGCTCAAAATCTTGGCCATCCATTGAGCACACAAAAGCCGATAACCGAGATGATTATGAATTATGGTGTGAACCGAACCGTGACTGATGTTCACACGCTCTGCCAGTTCATCAATGCTTATCCTCCATTCTTGTCTAATCAGCTCATCAACCTGTGCAATTGTGTCGGGGGTGATTGCAAGGTGGCTTTGGCCTGGTCTTGGATCATCTTTGCAACTTTCATGTCCTTCTTTGAACCGTTTGCTCCAACGCTTCACAGTGGCCAATGCGATTCAATGTTCACCATACACAGCAGTCATACACCGACTAATTTCATGTTGGGAAACACCTTCAGCTGTCAAAAACCTGACCACACCACGCTGTTCCTCTTTTGGAGCGTCCATTATGTCACGCTACCGTCTTCAACCCAGTGTAAGAGCACCTTAAAGAACTTTAACCTCACACTTTCGCGCCACTTTCGTTAATGAAGGCTGTCTCTGTGCTACGCGCATGCGCTGCAGATAATGGACCGAACCATTCTTGCTGAGGAGGGGTTGGCTCACTTTCATTTGACTCGCCCTTTAACAGCTGACAGTTAAAGCAATGATAATTAAGCACCTTTAATTTTCGATAAACAAATTATTAAAAAATGTGCAGGAACTGTCTAATTTTGCAATAGAGTTTAAATTTTTGAAGAAAGACACTTTATTAGATGCATTCAAAAAGTTTGCGCTCCTACCTTCAAAATTTTTCAGTCACTGTCTCAAAGAAAAATCAATTTTTAAAAAAATAATTGCATCACATGCTTATTAAGCAGTAATAAAAATACTTTCAATTAACATTTGTTTTGTTTTTTCCTTTTAATTTCAACAATATTTAGGTGTGTTTAAATAATACATACTCTCTTAAACAGAATCATACCCAACATATTTTTCCCATAGAAAGTTAACTTTGGCAAAACTTTTTTTTCGATTGTTCTTGTTGTTTGTACAGATAGTATATTAATGATAAAACCTCCTGCATTCATCAAAGCTTTACTCTACACTTATTAAAAAAAGTTTTATTTTTTAACTGAGGAAAGAATTTTGTAGAACTTCTTATTAAATAAGTAGCTATTTGTAAAATTCTTATTTAACTTTAACAAGCTTTATAGAAAGTAATGACTGTAAAATATTGTACTTAGTAGTTTTAGCATTTAACCATGTCATTTATAAAGGAACAGAGATGGGTGGATTTAAGAAAAGGAAAAGAAATTCATGTAGATAATTGTGGCCAATCTTATGAATGAGTGATTTAAAAAATGGCACTAAAAACTTTGAGCTAATGTTATATAATTAATTTAAGGAACTACTCTGATATGCGCTCTCAAATGCCAAACATTTTTGGCGAGAAACTCCACGATGCCATATTACTATCTAAATTTTTTGTCTACATTTCGAACTTTAAGCCTAAAATGTCTCCAAAAACGCGGTTTTCGCACATGCAAAAATGATGTTTTGGACACACAATTTTAGCTAAAAATCCGAAACAAAAACAAAAAATTTAGATACCAAAAACGTAAAGTTTCTAACAAAAAATATTTGACAAGAATCCATGTACACAGCGATATGTTTTAACTTAAAAAAAATCTACGACTGGCACAATTTAGGCAATGAACGAATCTATGAACTATGCACACATTGCTTTAATAAATTAACATAACAATAAATTTCAAAGAATGCCATGTACACAGCATCCTGTTTAAACTTTAAAAAAATCTACGAATTGCACAATTTAGGCAATGAATGAATATACGAACTACGCACACCTCGCTTTAATAAATTAACATAACAACAATAAATTTCAAAGAATACCATGTACACAGCATCCTGTTTAAACTTAAAAAAAAACATCTACGAATTGCACATTTTAGGCAACAAACGAATCTAGGAACTATGCACACCTCTCTTTAATAAATTAACATAACAACAATAAATTTCAAAGAATACCATGTGCACAGCATTCTGTTTCAACTTAAAAAACATCTACGAATTGCACAATCTAGACACTACGCACTAATCAACAAAATAAACTAAAATAAATTTCAAACAATTAAAAAAACAACAATAACGACAGAAATTCATACTAAAAAAACAATGAACATAACATTCTACAAAATAAGAACAAGAATAAAATAAAATGCACTTACCATGAATTAATGCTTTTTCAAACAGCAGAAATACCAATTTCATACCGCCTTTAACATGCCGCCACGTAAACACTATCGTATTTATATGACAGCCAGACACACTATCCAGAAAATTCATAGTATGGTTCACAAATAGATAAAATCGCAAATCCCTTTTTCTATCATGCACAGCCACTAAAAATAATCTCCCAGACCTTCTTTCCACACCTCCAAATACCCACTGCTCATCAACAGGATGGCCACAATGATATTTCCTTTTGCCAAACTTCAACAACTTCCACCATTTTACCTTTCCCCCCTTTCTTCTGAAACACAGACGCGAACCAACGAGCTCCAGCCAAAGATTTTTCAATGTCAACAGGGTTGCCATACGACACGCAATCGTGCCAAAAACCAGTGCAGAACACATATTGCCATATTTGGTGAAATTAGGGCGTATATCAGAGTTGTACCTAATTTAACATATAGAAAAGTATATCAGTACTTTTCTGTTAATGGAACAGCAGATGCTAAATATACATCAAAATGCCAAATGCAACAGCCTACTTATATCATATCTTGAATAGCTATACAATTACATAATTGCGAATGATTTCAATGATTGCGATGAATTGTGTGTTACATTACGCATCAGGAAAACACACTGTTCCAGTGTCTATAGCCTTCTATTATCTAATTTTATAATACTTTTACGTGACATTACTGGCATACATGCAGTGCAATTTATTTGCGTGCCCTAGATCTTTATATGGTGCAAATTTGAAGACTTTTGGATGCTTTCTTTATGATACTGCATTTTCAATGGTCAACTGTTTGTATTTAAAAGGATATTCAGAATTTTAATTTCAAACTAATTTTTAATTAATCTTTCGCATGTATTCTGTAAAAATCTAATTTTATGTTTGTTGTGAGGCCACTAAGATATTTAAAACTTGTGTATAAAGCTAAATAAAATAATAATAATTTGTATTAGATTTATGCCTAGCCACAGCAGGTATGATACTTATACTGTTTATCATAGCCTTATGTAAATAAAACAATTTTTGATTTTATATGTGTGTTTAACAAATCAAAATTATACATTCATATAATACTTTAAAATTAGTGTATTTTTTTTTGCAGTGGAATATTTGAATGAAATTGAGGTATGAGAAGTTGTTATATGTTTTGTTTTTAATCTTTGTGTTTAAGCTTATGTCTGATACAACCTTTACCTTCTTTAATAGCGTGGAATTAAAACTAAATCTCGTAAAGTGGATTTAATGAAAGCAGATAAGAAATTCAGACAATCTGTGCGGCTAGCAGCCCGAAGTGAAATTTTGTTGCCTGAAGAGGCAGGGTAAGATCCTTTAAATATTTTTTAATCCTATGAATTTAACATAATTTAACATAATGGGTGAAAGGGAAGAAAATTAAATGGAGCAATTTTTTCTCCCTTCTGCTGAAGGAGAGGGAGCTGTATCTGTACACCCTAGAAACTGATAGAGTTTGTTCAAAATCTGTGCTATATCAAAGTTGATTTGTTTATCTAATTTTAAAGTAACCTAACAGAGTCGAGGTATTTTAAATTTAACCTCAGATTAAAATTCCTCTTATTGTCAAACTTTTCAAGTATCAAAGCAGAGCAATTTTGACTGAAGGAAATACTGAACATATGTATAATAGTACATTACTTACTTTCTTTTGCTGTAAGAAAAGAATAAAATAAATTTCTGTGTTATCTCAAGTAGATATATATTACTTTTCAAATATCTTGGTTCTCATCCCTCACAAAAGAATAAAAGGTTCAGAATAATCTTTATTATTAATAGTAGTATTGTTGTTATTGAAAATAATTTAAATTTAAATATTTCTTGTTTTAAAATTGGATTTGTAAACTTGATTTTTATGGAGAAAAAGTTAAGCCATCTTGATAAATCTGTGATAATATTTAGCTGGTTCTTGAACACATTGACATATATTTTAGTAATGCAAACTTTAAAGTCACCTGAATCACACTCGTGCATGAGCAACCTGGTATGTAGCAACTCGTTTGCATATATCTTTTGACATTTTGCTTTATATAAATCAGACAATATGTATTTATAGCATTCTTTCGCTTTTTACCTGTTATGATAATATGCTTTATATTATTGATTTCAATAATGAATTGTATTTATTATTATTTATATCCTTATCGTTATCGTTACTTCTAACTAATTAATCAAGGTAAAACATAACTGCTTACCTTGTTCCAATGGGTTCTGCCAGGGCCACAGGGCTGAAGCTCCTCTGTGCATCTCTATCTGCAAAATCTTGAAAGGGATAATCCATAAATGATAAATACTTTCTTTACACAAACATATTTAATGAAGATGCAAACGGTTACAGAATATTTACATAATGAAAAAGGTTTTAATTTTCGCACGACGCAGCGTGCGACTTCTCAGTTCCGAGTTCTCGTGATCTCTCCGCGAGAGTTCATAGTTCGAGATGACGTCACTCAGCCATCGGATCTCAGCAAGAGTTGAGTTGCAACATCCTCTCGCCCGGAAGGACAATTGCTGTAATTGTCCTTATTACATTCCAGCTCCACCGGATATAGTAGTTGCACTGGTCTTTTAATCGTATGGCCATTGGGCAAGCGGAGAGCACAGGGTCTCACCTTGCAATCTCTCCCAGGAAAGACTTCCATTATGATGCCCATCTTCCACATCAGCCTTGGAATTTTATCTTCATGCACTAATACAATAGTTCCTTTCTTCAAACAGGTTCCTGTTTTCGCCAGTTTGGAATGATGAGCAGATTTTAAATTCATCAAATAATCCTGCCTCCATTTTCGCCAGATTCTTTCTACCAGTATCTGTTGATGTCTAAATCGACGTGTAAGACTCTCCTTTGTTGAAGTTAATTTAGAGCTTCCTTGTGGCAATGATAGTAATCGTCTTCCTATTAAGAAGTGACCAGGGGTCAAAGATTCTGGCTCTCCTAGATCCGAGTATGTAAATGTTAAAGGTCTGGAGTTCAATATAGCTTCCACTTCTGTTATGACTGTCTCTAATTCCCTGAATGTCAAGGATGATTTGCCTAAGATTCTCTTCAGAACAGGTTTCATAGACTGAACCATACGCTCCCAAAAGCCTCCCCACCATGCCGCCCTCTCAACTATAAATTTCCATTTGATTCCTTGCTTAGAGAACTCGTCTTGAACTTTATTGCTTTTCATCACCTCGTTCAATAGCTCTAATTCTTTTTTCGCTCTTTTAAAGGTTTTGGTGTTATCGGTATACACTATTCGGCACAAACCTCTTCTCGCTATGAACAGTCTAAATGCAAGCAAAAAATTTTCTGTGGAAAGGTCAGCCATAAGTTCTAAATGCACTGCTCTAGTTACAGCACAGGTAAACAGTAAAACGTATGTCTTAGATAATTCTTTTCCACTTTTGATGTACAGTGGACCCGCGTAATCTATCCTGGAGTTTTCAAACGGAAAAGCTTCTCGGCATCTGTCTGGTGGGAGAGGTGCCATATCTTGCATGACAGGTTTCATTGGAAATATTTTGCAGACATTGCAATTGTACAGAATACTTTTAACTTTCCTGCGAGCCTTCAGCAACCAAAATTTATATCTTATCTGATTTAAAGTATCTGCTATTCCTCCATGCCCTACCACCTCATGACTGTGAAGAATAATTAGATGAGTCAAATGATCTTTGTCGGGCAACACGATTGGATGTGCTTGTTTGTAATCCAAATTTGAATTTTCTAATCGTCCACCAACACGAATTACACCACTTTCGTCTACAAATGGACTGAGGGACATCAGTTTTGATTCTGAACTTAAATCCTCGTTGTTCTTCAATGCCCGTATTTCATTTGTGAAATTTTGCTCCTGAACACGTTTGATCCAATAAGTTTCTGCCATTTCCAATTCGGTAACCTGCAAACATCCTGATAATTTCGAGGTATTTTTAACATTGTTGATGAACCTTAAGCACCACGCAGTAATTCGGTAAATTCGATGTAAATTGCTGTAATTTTGGGTTTTAAATAAATCTTCGGAAGGTTCGGTAACGCATGCATTTACGAAAACTTCCTTCGATGTTTTTCTTAGTTCCTTGTTGGAATCTTCAATGTTCTTTGTGGAACATAAATTCGGTTTTGGCCAGTGTTCCATTTCTTCCTTTAACCACGTGGGCCCTTCCCACCATATGCTATTCTGCTTCAGATGTTTGACATTTTCACCTCTAGTTAGAAAATCAGCTGGATTATGTTCACCAGGCATATATCTCCAGTTCAAGACATCTGAATTCTTCTGTACCAGGCATATATCTCCAGTTCAAGACATCTGAATTCTTCTGTATTTCCTTCACTCTGTTCTGAACGAATGGCTTCCACCTTTTCACATCACTTCTAATCCAGTGTAACGTTATACTAGAATCAGTCCACATATATACAATTAAATCAATGTCCCGAAGTTTCTTTTGGATGTATTTTGACAAGCGGGAGCCTATCAAAGCACCCATCAATTCCAATCTGGGAAGTGATAATTTTTTCAAAGGTGCTACTCGTGATTTTGATGTAATGAAACTTGTATGAATGACTCCATTTTTCGAATAACGAAAATACAGAACAGCCCCATAGGCCTTCTGACTCGCATCTGTGAAACAGTGTAACTGTAAACCATCCTTTATATCCCTTTTCCCAGCACCTGCAAACTGATGTCTTGGTATTTCCAAACTAGAAATATGAGCTAATTCATCACACCAGCTTTGCCAATTCTTTCTGAGATTTTCTGGTATTTCAGTGTCCCATGCTATCTTTTGTTCCCATAAATCTTGCAATAAAATCCTAGCTCGAATGGTGTATGTGTATGGATTTAAAAACCCCAGTGGATCAAAGAAACGTCCTACAAATCTCAAGATTTCCCTTTTAGTGGGTATGTTATCTATCCTTTTGGCATCTTTTACCAAATCTTCAATTTCTATCAAAAATGTATCATTTGACCTATTCCATATGTATCCCAATACTTTAGAACAAGTCGAATCGTGTGAAAAATCTTCTTCATTCCATACCCTTTGTAAATTCGTTTCATTCGTTTTCCACTTCCGCATGTTAAATCCACCTTCTTTCAGTATGCGTTTAATATGTTCCGATTCCTCGAATGCTTCTGATTCTTCATCTGCTCCAGCGATTAAGTCGTCAACATACATATTTTCAGTTAGCATGGAAAATACGTTCGGATACTGTGACTTGTATTTGTCAGCGTGTACATTAAGAGTTGCTCTGAGAAGAAACGGACTAGATGTTGCTCCAAAAATTACCCTTGTCATACGAAGAGCCTTTATTTTGGTTCCATTTAATTCACCATCGTTCCATAGAAACTTGACTGCGTTTCTGTCTTCATCAGCAAGAGAAATCTGCAAAAATGCTTGTTCGATGTCAGCTGTAAACGCAATTCGATTTTGACGGAACTTAAGGAGCAAATCCAGTATGTCTGGACACATCTTGGGACCTGAATGTAAACAGTCATTTAATGACAAACAATTCTCCGCATGTGACGAAGCGTCAAAAACCACACGGAGTTTTGTAGTTTCCTTGTTTTCTCTTATAACGGCTTGATGTGCCATAAAATACGTTTTTGGTCCAATTTCAATGTTAGTCTCTTCGGCGATTCCTTCTTTTAAGTACTTATCAATTACTTCACGATATCTGTCATAGAACTGTTGATTATTCTGAAATCTACAGTTTAAACTCTTAAATCTAATTTTAGCAATCTCCAGATTATCTCCAAGCTCATTTGAATTATGATTCCAGGGAAGGCGAACAATATAACGATTGTTTTCTAATTTCACAGATCTTTTGAAATTATCGAAAACTAAATTATCTTCTAATTCGAGTTCCTTATCCGAATCATAATTTATCCCCATAGAATCGTGCTCCCAGAGATTCTTCAGCAAACTAGACAGTGATTCGTTCTGTGTATCTTTATTATTATGAACCACAACCTTCATCGTATTCACATTAGTTTGGTGAAATTCCGTAAGCCCTTTCTGTTCCACTAATGGTCGAACTCAATTCTGTTTCAACCGCTACTAAGGAATTAGACAGTCTGTAAACCTTACCCGTAACTATTTTCCAATAAAAATCCGCTCCTATCAGCAAAGAAATTTTCGGTTTATTCCCTTGTCCCCATTCATCAGAAAGTTGTATGCCCAGTTTTTTAAAAAGATTAACTATTTCATTTCTAGGGGAATGAATATGTGATCCATTAATGACAGGAATAATTAAAGCTTCTATTTTGATTTTATATCGATTCTTCGAATTACGCAAAATGAGCCTGGTTTTTTTTTTAACATTTTGCACTTCAGACGTCGTGCAACCGAAAGAGAATATTTTTATTTTTTCTTCTCCAATAACGGGAAGTTTTAATTTCTTACAGATGTCCTCTCTAATAAATGTTTGCTGCGATCCTAAATCAAACAACAAGCGAACGCTTTGCTGGCGCCAATTGCCTGTGTTTATAATTTCAGCTCGTGCTGTCAGAAGAAATGAGTTATTTACTGTTGCACAATCAGAAACAGAAGAGACTACTGGCCCTTGGACGGGACTCTTGTCTGACGCGTTCATTTCGTCAGGATGTCTCAATGTATGATGTCGCCAATCGCAAATACCACAAGTTAGTTTCGATTTGCACATCCTCGCTAAATGGTATCTTTTGAGACACACAAAACAAATTCCACTTCGCTTTAACGCTTCCTTTTTTTCTACACAGTTTTTTGGCATGATTCTGATGTATGATTTTCAGAACAGAATAAAAAGCTATTAGATAGTGATGTGTTTAACGCTGCCGCTGAAGGAATTCTACCCTTATTATAATCCCGATTTCTTTCGCTGTCTCGAAAACGTTCTTGAAACTGCCGCTTATTTTCAAAATGGGATTTCTTTTCAGTGACTTCAGAATCTGTTGGCTTAACTAAAAATCCTGTACGTTCTCGACTTTCTATTTCTTTTCTTAGAAAATTTAGCAAATTTGTAATTTTTGTCTGGTTATCATCTTCATATTTCCTATTAAATTCTAGTGCTAAATCATTCGGAATCACCTTTATTAATATCAGATACAATAAGGTACTATACGAATCCGGTAAAATAAAACACGATTCTAATCCTCTAATTTGTACTTCACAACGATCATATAATTTTCTAAGTGCTGTCACATCACAAGGTCTTTTAACCGGAGTCAGAGTTAATAAATTGTTCATATGGGTATCTATTATTAGTTCTTTGTGTCCAAAGTGATCTTTTAATATTTTCACAGCCTTTTCGTAATTCTCTGCTGTTAACGTCAACCCTTGTATTGCAGTTTCTGCATCGGAAGTAAGAATTGACTTTAAATAGTTCAATTTATCTACCGCATGTAGACTTTCGGTTTTGTGTACAACTGTCTCAAATCGTGCCCAAAACCCAGGCCAACTGCACACATCCTTTCCCGAAAATGTTTCCAGGGCCAGTTTGGGGAGTTTAATTTTGTTTTGCCATTCAGTGACAGTTCCATATGAAGTAGAATTAGCGCTATGTGGATTAGTATCTATATATCTTTTCGCACGTAATTTCCAAATAATAATTTTACTTTTATAATCTTCTCTAGACATTATTTCATCTTCTAAATTTGTTACATCAATTAAAGCTTCAATACCATTATCCACTAAGATTAGTTCTTCTTCTTTATTAATTAACTGAGCAACCGTTTCTTCAATTACATTTTTATCCCGCTCATTAGCAATTTCTGTTTCTATCTTATTTATCAGCCTCGTAACTACTGCTCTTATGGCGGATCATTTCTTTTTTAATTTTTCTAAGTTCATGTTTTTGCTTTAAGCTAAATCTATTAAATTTCAGTTCAAATTCAACCCAATGGCCCCACATTGGGCACCACAATATTATTATTTATATCCTCATCGTTATCGTTACTTCGAACTAGTTAATCAAGGTAAAATAAAACTGCTTACCTTGTTCCAATGGGTTCTGCCAGGGCCACAGGGCTGAAGCTCCCCTGTGCATCTCTATCTGCAAAATCTTGAAAGGAATAATCCATAAATGATAAATACTTTCTTTACACAAACATATTTAATGAAGATGCAAACGGTTACAGAATATTTACATAATGAAAAAGGTTTTAATTTTCGCACGACGCAGCGTGTGACTTCTCAGTTCCGAGTTCTCGTGATCTCTAAATAAGAGTTCATAGTTCGAGATGACGTCACTCAGCCATCGGATCTCAGCAAGAGTTGAGTTGCAACAGTATTATCCTTTGGATTTAGTGCATTTAATTTCAGGTAATAGTGTGTTTAACCCTATATGTTTTACATAATGTTAATGTATAATAGTTTACTTCACTGCTATAATTTTGTAATATAATTAGCATAATTATAACCACTAGTATTTCTTTTATTTACTCAGAAATTATTTTATATGATATGTTGTATATTTTTCAGTAAGGTTCGACTGGCAATTATCATTGTGGTAGATAAATTGATTAGTTGAGAAGAGGAATAATCATCACTAATCAAAATTAATAGTTACGCTCACTAGCATATTCTTCTGAAAAAGAACACTGCAGTGCTTTCCATTGAAACTGGCAAAAAATCATTCAGATTTCAGATCTTAAATATCAACTTTAGCATACATTGCTTTAAAAAAGGATATTTTTTAAAGTTATGTATTACTTTGCTATTAAGCTGTAACTCATTTTTTTGAAATGTAACCAGTTTGCAATATGTTATAAAATAATTGTGAACTAAGTATTCCTGTAGTGATTTAAAATAGTTATATAAAGAAATTGAAATTAATATACCATATATTGTATTAAAATATGAATGTGCAGAAGTGTTGTTGGTTAAAACAATTATTTCATATTTTATAATTGTTAAAACACTTTCTTTTCATTCTTACAGATATATTGAACCAGATGAAAATGAAGATACATATCGTATACAACAGCTTGATATTGTATCTGCTGCAGATATTACTAGTGCTGCTAAAGTAATTATATTTCTTGCATATTATTATCAGAAGCTTTAGATAGGCTTTTAAACATTAAAATAACTTTAAATACTGATTAATATCTTGAAAAATTCTTTCTTTTTCTTTTCTTTGGAATGTAATTTTTTTTAACATCTTATATTTGATGAACATTTATACTGAATATATGTGAATTTATAGGATGGTGATTGAAAATTTTAATAATACAAATTTGCCTTTCTTATATTTGAACTGTAAACTACAATTCCTTATAATTTTCCTAGGGTTTTGGGTGTAGCATATTTTCATCTCAAGTTTGGTCATGATTATTTGCAGAAGCATCTTTATTATATAGGCGTGATGTGTCCAGTATGTAGCACTGCTGACAAGATTAGCAATCATGTCTGCTATTTCCCTGATCTTAATGATGTTGCAGATAATAATTCAGCAATAAATGCTGACATTTTGCCTTTTCAGGACTTTATTTATTGGGTTGCTGAACAGAAACAAATGGCTGAAAAGTTGAGATCAGGTGTAGGATTTAAAAAAGAAAAGGAAAAAAGAAAAAAAAAGAATCATTTTATGAGAGAGAAGAAAAAATGCACCAAAGCAAAATTTTAAATTAGGCAAAACAACAACCTTGTCATTGCCTAGATTTTAATTAAAACTTTGAGTTTCAATTAAATACCAAATACCGAGTTGTTTTACCTAATTTTAATATTTCAAAATTAAAAAAAAAAAAGAAAAGAAAAGAAAGTACTAAACAGTTCAGGTATTTTATTTTTATGTATTTTGCATACCTTCAACTGTTTTTTTTCACATAGCTTCCACTGCTGTTGAAGCATTTGTCATAGCTTGAGATCAATTTTGTAAACCATTGTCATAAAAACCTACCACTGAGTAGAAGCCATTTTTCCAACACAATTTTATAAAGAACTGGCTGTGAAGGCTATTGGAAATTTACTGATTGAAATAGTAAAATGTCTGTTTTCATGAATTGTGGTGTCTACAGACATTTGGCTTGATATGGTTCATTCGCATTCCATAGGCCTTTCTTAAACTGTCTCGATCATTTATAAACTGTGCCATTACTTATGATATTTGGACCACACGTTTATGAATCTGATGTTACATTTCTTGTAAACAAGAAGTAAATTATGGATCTTATTTCACAGGCAGTGAGCCATTTGTTTTATTATAAACATTTCCGTGATATAACATAAAGTGCTTTATAACTGCTTACAGGATTTAAAAAGACATTTTTATGTGCAAGGAATGATTAGAAATATTGTGTATGTGGAAATTACTAATGTTGTTGTTGTTGTACATATATATTTTAACTAATATAGAATGATAATAAAAGAAAAGGGGGGCAGAACTAGGGACCAACTAGGTCTCAAGAAATCTTTTCTGCTTTACTACTTACTATTTTTAAATAATATAGATATAAAGTATGTGCTCAGTGTGACTTAATAATTACTGTTATAATGTTTATTTCTGTTGTCTTCTTTCAGTCCTTCTCATTGTCTTTAACTGAATTTGGGCCTTACAAAATAAATTATTCACGAGATGGCAGGCAAGTATAGTTTTGTTCAATATATATAATTTTGTTAATATTCCTTTTTTCTTTCTTTGTCATAAATTAGAAGTTTTATAAAAAGAATACGTATTCTTAAGTTTAATTTTTCTCTTAATTGTTATATATATATATATTTTTTAGGCATCTCTTACTTGGGGGGTATCGTGGTCATGTTGCTGCTATGGATTGGGTGACGAAAAGATTATTGTGTGAAATAAATGTCATGGAATCTGTGCATGACATATGCTGGTTACATCTGCCCACAATGTTTGCAACAGCACAGAAAGAGTGGGTGTATATTTATGATAACAAGGGAGTGGAGCTACATTGCTTAAAAAAGTTGAGCCGTGTGTTGCAGATGGAATTTTTGCCATATCATTTTTTACTTGTGACAGCCGTAAGTGATCCAAATAACTGCTTATTTCAAAAAAAATTTAATGATCCAGTATATATTGTCACTTGTATTTTGTGAAAATCATGTATACACTGTTGCTGTCTAATTCAAAATACAGTGCATATGTTTTCATTTAATGTATGTACTGTTTCAATTTTCTAATTCTCTCCACTCTACTAAGATAGTTATTTGAAGAATTAGCAGTTATTTGAAGAATTAGCTACTATTTCTGCATAAAAGAATTTAATTATTTTTGGTCACATTCCAAAAACATTTGCACATGTTTATTTAATTTTATGTTATATTTCCTTATGCAGATTCAGGTTATTAATAATTACTAATTAAATACTTATGGTTTAATAAGTAATTGTTAACGATAAATTATAGTCAAAAACAAAACATACAAAAGTGTGTATCAGTTAAGATACACTTTTGTGGGCAGTACATATAAGAGAAATATATAATGAAAGATAGTAATTTATTTATTCATTTATTAAAATAAAAATGCCATACTTTCATCTTTTCTGCTGTGAGATATCAGTAAAAAGCATAATTAATTATAAGCATACCAAAATTTAGTTAAGCCCAAAAATAATTATACATGCTTCATTTCCGTTTGGAGAGTTATCTTGTTAATATATTTACTGTTTAATTATTAATCGTTAATAATAAATTATAATTTGAAACAAACAAAATGAAAAAAGTATATATTAGTTAAATATGTAATGGAAAAATAATTTATTTATTTATATATCATTATAATAAAAGGGTGTTATGTTTGCCTTTTTTACTTCCTTGTATGAAGTAAAGGATGTATTACAATTGCAAAAAAAATCTCGTATCATATTTCAACAAAAATATCCATTTGACCTTTTTTGAATCCATTTGAACAATGTGTTTGAGTGACATCTGTAAGTACAGACAGAATAAAGGACTCTTTTCCCCCAAATGGATGGTAAAATGGATTCAGAAGAGTTTTTTTGTGACGTGTGTATGTACATATATACGTATCTCACATACCCCAAAAACGAGTATACTCAGAACATTGAAATTTTGTACATAGGACTGCTAAAACATGTATTTGTGCGCCTCCCTTTTCAGTTACAATCGGCTGAACCAAAAGTATATAAATACATATATAGTATTATATACTAACTCTGCTACCTGGCTCGGTGAGCTCAGTTTTTATTCTTATGTGTTGGTAAATTGTGCATGTTTTGCTTTAAAAGTGATTGAATTATGTTGTTCTTATGTTCTGGTTAAAGTTTTTATGCCTTTAGTTAATCTGCATGCAATAATTGTAAAATTATCAACAATTTAAAAATTGTTTAAGCGCTACTAAGCCTAATGAAACCGCCATTTACTTAACATTTGAAACTCTTTAGAAGTATAGTGAATTAAGAAACTTCACCAACCATTTTTGCACCAACTTCAATGTCTTTTTGCCAAATGGGACCAAAAGTAAATTTTAATTGTATAATTTTTTTAACTGTAATTGGTGTTTTGTGCTCTCCTGTATTTTACAATTTTTAGTGAAGATGTTTTGAGTTTTTATGTATTTTTACCTTGCCGTGAAGTGAAAACTGAATTAATGAAATGTAACAAAAAAATGTGGATAATTTAATAGGCCATGCAAGGAAGTCATGTGGTGTCCACATCATATTTTTATTTCCTTTTACGAAGTAAAAAGGAAGTATTGTTATCATGAAAAATTCCAGGTTTCATATTTCAATGAAACTATTCATTTTGACCACTATCAAATGCAATTTAATGATGCTTTTGTGTGACATCTGTATGTAAAGACAGAATAAAGGACTCTTTTCCCCAAATGAAATATAAAACTGATTTAAAATGGATTCAGAAGAGATTTTTTTTTTCATGGCATCTGTGCATAAGTAGGTACATATGTATGTATCTCGCGTAACTCAAAAACGAGTAGCCTCAGAATGTTGGAAACTTGTGTATAGGACTGTCATAACATGTAGGTGTGCACCTTTTATTTTGGTTGCCATTGGCTGCACCAAAAGTATATAAATATATATAGATAGATCCATTCTGGATTACTCAGTTCAGTGATCTCTGTTTCTTTATTCTTATATGTTTGTAAATTGTGCTTTTTTTGCTTTAAAAATTATTGAATTATGTTGTTCTTATCTTCTGGTTAAGGTTTTTATGCCTATAGTTAACCTGCATGTTTTAATTGTAGAATTATCAACAATTTAAAAGTTACGGCCAGTGTAGAGAAATTAAGTTTTACATTAACAAAGTAACATCATCTTTTATTATTGTGAATTAAATTATGCATAATCCATTCTGGAATTATTTAACTTATTACATTATCTTATATATTGACTCAGCATACCGTTCACAACAAATTAAGTCAGTTTCTACGCCTTCAGTGTCTTTTTGCCGAGTGAAACCATAAGTAAACTTTCAGTTTGTGAACAGAAAAATCCACCTTCTTGCCTGCTGGCCAAATTGTTTGTTTTTGTGTAGAAACTAATTTTAATTGTAAAAATTGTTTTAACTGCATTTGGTGTTTCATGTTTTTCTGTATCGTTCAATTTTTAATATAGATATTTTGAGTTGTTATGTATTTTTGCCTTGTTGCGAAGTGAGAACTGAATTACCCATTAACCACCAAAACTACAAGGAATGATTTTTTTCTCGTGAAAATAATAACAAATATTAAATTAAACATTTATAACATAAATTTACATTGAAAATAAAAAATAAAAAAATGCTCTTACCTGTGGAAAAAGCGAGTGTTGCGTTCGTACAATGTCAGCGTTGTTTAGGGAGTAGGATTGTACTCGTGCTATGTTTCCTCTGAGTGGAGCACTGGATTCCTTTTTAGCTGTATAACGTTTTATAAATCTACAAATCACTTTACTTGTAATTAATTTAATATTAAAATATACACTTAATTTCTTTTACAAATACAGATTATTTCAATTGAATGTTTTAAGCATAAAAGCTTCACTACAATCACGATGTAAAGCTACATTACATACTTTGCAGCTATAAACAGTCTGGCTATAGCACTCTTTACAATGAAGTCTTTTGTTATCATCAGACTTTACAATAAAATGTCTACTATCTCCATTCAGTGGTTTTTTAATGCTGAATTTACTAGGTCTTCCTGTTGTTGATCTATTTTTGGCTAATTCTACACTCTGAATAGGAGTTTGCAAAAGGAATAATGCAATCTCACGTCTGAAATCTAAAAGAGACTTTCTATTTCCAGTAGTAGAAAGTCATGATACTGGAAATACTACGACTGGAAATAGAAAGTCATGATATTTTCCATGCATTTATCAAGGCTGCATTAATGTAATTAGTAAATATTGGCCACCACCATTTTTTGCCACGAACTCGTATTCTGTAATTGGCTACTAAATTGTCACATAAATTGACTCCACCCATTTTGGCATTGTATTGTTCAATATGATGAGGCTGAGATATAAAAACCTTTTTTCTGTGCGTTTTTACTCCTCTTCACTTTACCTTGTATTTTGTCTTTTATTAGTTTCTCTTCTGTCTCTTTCTTCATTTTCTTCCTGAGACATAACTGACTGTTCCTTTTTCATCCATTTCAAGTTTTCTGCTTTTTAAACTTTTTCGTATGACTACCACTGCTTTTAGAAGGCTGAAACTTACTTCTTACATGAATTTGAACTTCCCCAGCAGTATCATTTGGTAAAATATTACTATCATTTATTTAAAACATTGTCATTCCCTTCTTCATCACTAGCTTCTGCAATTTCTGGGAAACCAACAACAATATCAGTTTCATTCCAGTCATTATTAAAATTATTATCATATGTTTCTTCATCAAAAAATCTTTGAAGGGCTTCTTCTAATGTAAGATACCTCCTTCTAGGCATTTTTGAAGCAGCCAGAACATGAACCAGAACATTGAAATTAAAGAGTAAAAAAAGAGATTACCCGTTTCCTGCTGACGTAGTGTCAGCGCAACACCTGTTTTCCCTCCCTTCCCAACACAAATATAAACATCTGATTGATGTAATGTTCTGATAAATGGTGACCTTGACTAAAAATAGATCACTCATAAAGACAGTGATTCTTTCGTTAAATATTTTCGGCAAAAATACCTGGTCGAAAATTTTGCTTAAAGTATGAGAAAGTATGAGATTTTTGAAGGCAACATTTATTTACAGAAATAATTTTCATAATATTCCCTACACAAAATCATCTGCTGATATAAAATATATTAGGTAGTTATATAATTTATTTTGTCCGTTGCATTAATGCAACACCAGCGGCTAATGGGTTAATTGATTGAAAAATATATCTCTAATGAAATTCGAGGAAACAAGTTTAAATGAAAGGCTTGGAAAAATGCATAGCATTTGATATTCCGTACAAGGAAGTCATGGTGTACACGTCAGATTTTTCTTGTCAAATATTAATAAAAAATATAATGAATTATTAGCATACAAAGATTAGTCATTCCATTAAATGTTTCTTTAAATTTGTTAGAAAATGAATATTTGTTCAAAAATATGCATTTTATTTTTAGATTCTGAGCAATTAAATGCATTTTAAATGTCAAAAATTTATCTAAGAGTGTATATTTATATGAACATACCTGTAATATATGTTTCGATTTATTATCAAGTCTTAACTAGCATATATAATACGAAAAATCATACTCATGTTTGCAAAATTTTATTGCAGAGTGAAAAAGGTTTTCTGTCATGGTTAGATGTTTCTATTGGTAAAATGGTGAAAGAAACCTACACAAATGCAGGTCGTTTAAATGTGTTATGCCAAAATCCATACAATGCAGTTGTAGCAACAGGCCATCCAAATGGTAAGTTTTTAAAATAATATTTCATAATTTTTCAAAGTGTAGTATGGTTTTAAAGTAGTGTAAAACTTCTTTGCTCATTTTATTTATTGAATATAAAAAGTAAAATATATTGACAAAGAAACTACAGCTCTCTTTTTTTAGTTGATAAGGAAAAAATTTGAAGTGGCATTAAATTTAAATTTAAAGAAACCATAGGAAAAATATTGTTAAAATTCCTTAGGTTAATGTAAAAAAAAACAATAATATTAACAGCTTTAATATCTATTATCAGTTCATTTTTTAGGATAAACTAGAAAAACGTTTTTAACACAAAGAATAGATGTATATCACTTGTTTCATCCCATTCATAGTGTTCTGGATGTAATAATTGTAATCGATGACATACTTCTGAAGTTTCGAAAATGTCAACTCCATGAGTTTTTCCAGTTAGTGTGCAAGTTCTTCGTAACACTGAAAATCTTTAGTTACAACATGACTAAAATATAAAACTTGCACTAAGTCACTTTATTTAGAGCTTTCGGTTGATCTTTACATTATGGTAACTTGGCGTTTTTTTGGCGAAAATTTGGCGACCAACTCTCCTACAGCAACCCTCTATTTTTTTTTTTCCCGCCGCCATTTTGTCTTCACGAAGTAAAGACATGTTTCTTTTCTTTTTATCTACTGAACACTTCTTCCAACAATCTACTAGCCGAATTACACTTATGCTAGAAATTTTATCTAACAAACTGCTTAATCATGACAAATATTCACTGCAAAATTGGGAAAAAGTGCACAATACCATACTCCTTACGCGGTTTTTCAAAATAACACATACACATAAACCATGTACACGCCGACTTATTTTTACTTAAGAAAACATCCCAGAATTACACAAAAATAGCATTGCGCACACTCTTCACTATATCCATGTACACTGCTTTTTTCTCATAAATTAGAAAAATTTCACGAAAATACATGACAATTTTCTAAATTTTTAAACCCGGTAAAAAGAATGTATATGAAATTACCTGATCGCAAAAAAGTTTATACCCTTTCCAAATATGAACATTTCCACATATAAAATAAATAAAATATCCAAAATCTTTTACCTCTAAATCATCTATTATATTATACACGTCACCAACGAATTCATACCACAAGCATTACAAATATTTAGTGTCAAATATTTAAATTATTTCCATGCACGTTTACTTCAACTTAAACGTATACCAAATTCCTACAAACATAAAATTCACAAAATAACTATCATTTAATTAAAATATCACTAAACCATGTACACGTCGACTTACTTTTAATTAAAAAAACATCCCTGAATTGCACAAAAATGGCATTGCGCACACTCTTCATTATATCCATGTACACTACACTGCTTTTTTCTCATAAATTAGAAAAATTTCATGAAAATGCATACAATTTTCTGAATTTTAAACCCGGTAAAAAGAACATATATGAAATTACCTGATCGCGAAAAAAGTATATACCCTTTCCAAATATGAACATTTCCCCGTATAAAATAAATAAAATATCCAAAAACATTTACCTCTACATTATCTATTATATTACCAACGTCACTAACTAATTCATACCGCAAACATTACAAATGGTTACAAATACTTAGTGTCAAATATTTAAATTATTTCCATGCACGTTTACGCAAATTACTTTATTTTCACCTTACATTTAGAACAATGCATAAAAATAATATCCTCAAATAATTAAAAATACTAACTTACCTATTCTTCTTCAGAATCTTGATTACGTGTCCGATAAACTTTTCTTATTTCTGTTTCAGGATCTTTAAAATCATACTTATAGGTCACACCAAGATACCAGGTAAAATAAATAACTTAATAAAACATCTTTACTTCTATCTCGCACAACCTTAAAGAAACACTTATTACTACCCCTTTCAATCCCACTAAATACCCATTTCGAATTCACTTTAGTTAGGGCCATGGGATCCAAAAATTAACGAACACTGTTTCACACAACACAGAATAAAGCCAAATACAAAATTTCCTGATTTCCCCCCTTTTCCGATTAAAGAACCGTAATTCGTCCATTAATATCACGACATATCCCATGATCTCTCATTTCCCTCACATAAAATAATGCGTAATCGGAACTGAGTACTGCTCACATTACTACCAAAGTCCCAGGTAGTAACCTTTATTGCCTCCAAAATCTCGCCAAACTACCAGTTACCATATTCTAAAGATCAGCCGAGCTTTCATCTAAAGTAATCGAAAAATAAACATCTTCATTTTGCATAATTGCGGGAAGTTGCTCTGTTGCATTTTGAGCTAATTCTTGTTGTTGATCTGTTGCAGTTCGTCTCAAAAGAGGCAGTTGTTTGTATTTATCAACTTTTTCTGGATCTAACATATCCATTGCTTCAACAATACATTCTTTAATTATTTCTGTGTTCCTAAGTTGTTTTATCTTTTGCTAAGTATATTTGCTATTTTGTAAGTAGCATCAACTGCAGTGGTTTTTTTTTTTTTTTTTTTTTTTTTTTTTTTTTCCTTTATACAAGTACTAAAAGATGCCTTTTTCCTTTTCAATTTTTGAACTGCAGCTTGTCAAGATTCACCTTCTAAATTCAAATAATAACATTATTTTCAAATTGTCATAATCTATATAATTAAATATTAATCAATACAAGACCTAGAGGCCGCACATTCCCTACTTGTGGTATATGCTATATGATAGTCCTAGGGATAGCCAGAGTATTGCCAGTTTTATATCAGATATGCAAGGTATGCAGGGTTCATACGGTCCTTAAGAGTCCTTCAAAGTCCCTAAGTTTTTTGGAATCGATTTTTGGTCCTTAAAAGTCCTTAATTTCGGCCAAAATCGGCAGAAGGTCCTTAATTTTAATCATCGGAAATAGCTGTCTGTTTTTTACGTCTGCCATTTTGAGTGTGAATTAACATTTTGGAGGAATATTTTTGGTGATTCAACGGACAGGTATGGTTATCTTTTGAATGGGTGAATGGGTTATAATTCGTTCCTATTTCTAATATAAATCGTGGGATTTTCGAGTTTTATAGTAAAAGAAGTGCAGCATAAGTATTTTAAAATGATTTCATTTTTTCTAATGAAAGAACTCTTAAACAACTTTTGGCTTTTCGAGATGTAAATTCTTTTATTAAACGGCTCTGAATTCGGCGACTTATCAGCATTTTGGCGATTTTAAGATCAGTTTCTGTAGAAAATTGTTTAATTTCGAGATCTGGGAATTTTTCGACATTTTTTAAAACATTGTAACATGGATAATTTTCATTAAAATAGTGGTAAAATATTGAAATTATGTTTAAAAAATAACATTAAAATAAAATGTTTTTAATTTTTGCTGTCATATTATAAAGTTTCATTTTGGCCACTTATTGTACAATATTTTGAATCTGCAAAATAAGCAAGGTATACGAAACAGTTTTAGCAAAAGCAAAATAGCTATGTAAATAATTTAAAATGTCTTTTTAAATTTTTTCATGGTAAGAGTTTTTCCAATGTAATTGTCTCAGAGTATTCAGAATTATCAGAATATTCAGTTTTTTCTATAAAATTAATTTTACACCTTTTCCCTCTGATATTTTTTCTCAAAATATTTCTGGCTTTTTACTGTTACAGAATTTTTTTTAGGATTTTAGATATTGCAGCTTAGAAAATTTAGAAGGATTTGAAGGCAAAATTTATAGACTCAAGATTCTAGAAAATTACAGAAAAATGTCTCCATGCTATTAACACATAACGAAAGTATTTTGCAGAAAGTTTACGATGTATTTCTTACTTTTTGGAGACTGGAAGAACAAAGAAAACACAATATTTGAATGTTTTACTTCTGATACTAGAATCTTTTTTCTTAACACGTTTATCTTCCCTTTATTTTCTCTAATTTTCACTAGACACAGACATGGAAAATATCAAAACTGTTTTTATTCTTATCAGGACAGGCATTATAGAAAGAAATTTTTTTCTTAGTAAAGAAATTTGAAAACTGACAATTTAAATGATTCATATTATATGTCTAAATGCATCATACACAGGGCTGGCGCTAGGCATTTTCCTACCTGATGCAATCTCTGCGGATCCTAAATTCTGCTTCCAATGCCTAAATTCTAAAAGTTTTGCCATTTCTAGATTTTGTTGCTTGGTGTGTCACTAAATTATAAAAATTCTGCCCTACCGTCTCTGTAACCAGCCCTTACCATATATATTTCATATTGCTACTGAATGTTCATATTATTAAAGATATAAAATTAGCAGCTTTTTCTATGCTTTCTAAATTTAGTGTTTTTAGAATAATAGAAATCTTTAATTTAAATTCTAAAATGAAAAGGAAACGTGCTGAAGAAAGATTCTTCAAAGATATGTACTGCTAAGACACAATAACACGCCGAATAAATACTGATTCAGAAGTCAAACAACAAAAATCAGCGTTAATTCACAAAATTTTCACAGGACTAGTTTCGATGGTTTTACCGAACCATCATCTTCAGCTGCAAAACCGCATCTGAAGATGATGGTTCGGTAAAACCATCAAAACTAGTCCTGTGAAAATTTTGTGAATTAACGCTGATTTTTGTTGTTTGACTTCTGAATCAATATGTACTGCTATTGGTATGTACAGTTATTATTATGTAAATTACGCGGTTGTTTAGAATTTCGGCCTTTACTATAATTTCCCATTTCTGTTTTCTCACCAGAATGCAATTCGCTTAGATAGTTTTTAAACTGAGGTGTATGGAATGTAAGACAGAGTGTGTTTCTGTTCTCCACATACTTGCTGCATTAGCTCCTGTCCAAAATGAGACATAAAAAAATCAACATAAAGCTAACTGTTACTTTAGAAGTAAAACAACAATCTTAATAAATCTAACTGTTAGTAAACGTAAATAAATGTCACTTTTGTTTCTAATATGTCCAACTATATAAATGTAAAATTTAATGCTACTAATAAATTTCATAAAGTTTTATTCTATAACTTATTAATA